GTAATAAAGCGCCTAAATTGTTCCAATTGTCGCATGATGAGGGAGTTCTCACCTACGAAAAAGCTGAAGAAAAGACTCAAGAAGATTCGACAAAAAAGCACTGAAGAACAAACCGATGGTGGGGATGCCGCGCTGGATAATTTAGAAGAGTCACAGCCTGGCACGAGTATCTCATTGTCTGGAAAATTTGAAGATTTGCCTATATCAGAGCCAATTAAGCGTGCTGTCAAGGAAATGGGCTTCACACATATGACCGATATCCAAGATAAATGTATTCCACAGCTGCTTGAGCACAGGGATCTGATGGCCTGTGCTAAAACTGGGAGTGGTAAAACACTAGCTTTCTTAATACCTGTTGTGGAACTGATGCTAAACTTGGGTCTGCAACCTCGTAATGGTACTGGTGCCATAATCATTTCACCTACTCGTGAACTTAGTCTTCAGACGTATGGTGTGTTGGGAGTAAGATTTTAAGTTTTGTGTAGTGTATTTTATAATTAGGAACTCATTCAATTCACGAATTTACGAATTGGCCTCATTATGGGTGGTAGCAACCGACAAACTGAAGCTCAGAATCTTGAAAAAGGTGTGACAATTCTCGTTGCAACTCCGGGAAGACTGCTAGATCATTTGTCAAACACAAAGTTCTTCCTCCGTCATAATCTTAAAGCTCTTGTAATCGATGAAGCTGATCGTTTGTTGGATATAGGTTTCGAAGTGGAAATGCGACAAATTATAAAACTTCTTCCGACGGTACGGCAAACAATGCTGTTTTCTGCTACCTTGAACGAAAAGACGAAGAACCTAGCCAACGCTGCGCTTAAAGCTTCTTGTGTTATGGTCGGATCAGCTCCTGATAATGAAGCAACAGTTGAGGGATTGGAACAAGGGTATGTTGTCTGCCCTCCTGATAGGCGTTTTTGTCTACTGTACACATTTCTCAAGAAAAATAAAAGTAAAAAGGTAATTTCGAGGATACCCAAATATTGCTATTCATTAAAATGATTAACCATTCCTTCGTATCTTTCGCTTTGTCAAGTTTAAGTTTTACGCGAAATCATTCAGTGTAGAGACGCACTGATAAACACTAGATACATGGGTTTTTCTGGGGAAGTTTCTTCACAATGTTTTCATTGTTATGGATACTACCGTACTAGGCTATAAATGTATTCATAGGTTCTAGTCTAGCATAGTTAATCAAATTATTTACTTAGGCTATTGCTTTAATTAAACTCTTGGCGTTCCTGAAGACTGCATGCTTTTCTCTGGATTCCAAGAGCAGCCGACATTATTTTAACGAAACTCGATATTTCTGTCTCAAACGACCTTTAAGCGACACTAAAGTGATCTTGAGGATGTCCACCTATTAGCTAGGATTAATAGAGGGTTATAAAAGTGTGAGGAATTAGAATTATGATTTACAGTTGATGGTTAGTAATTTGATTTATTGGTTTTCATCACGAACCGACGCTAGCTATAATGCCAAAACGCTGTTTTGCCAAATGGATGGGTAAATTCCGCACCAAAATCTCAGACTCGTCTGATTGGTTCGTCCATAAATTATGGTGTCTCCCAGATCTCGATCAAGAGTTCCAGCCATTATCTTCGCTTGAATCCTTAAGATGAGTTTATCTTCTGTCGTCTAGTCTATTTTGAGCTAAAATAGTGAGCATGTGATAAACAATATGGTATTGTGACCAAGAATTGCGAATCAGCCAAGTATGTTCACAGATATAACGTTTGTTTGGCACCAATAATATCATTAAGGTTGAAAATTATTTTCACACTCCCAGTCACCTCACTAGTCAACAACCCTCATACTTTTCTACACGTTTCAGATTATGGTTTTCATGGCTTCCTGCATGGAAGTCAAGTTTTACTATGAGTTGCTGAACTTTGTGGATACTCCAGTCCTAGCCATCCATGGTCGACAAAAACAAGCTAAAAGGACAAGCACCTTTCTTCAGTTTGTAAAAGCTGAGTCTGCTGTTCTTTTGTGTACTGACGTCGGAGCGCGCGGTTTAGACATACCAAAGGTAGGTTTTCGATTGGTTTGCTTCTCTTGTTGAAATAACAGTATTACGAAAATGTCTAGCAGTGACTAGCCATACAAAACCGAAGGTCCCCATGAGGCTATCTGTCAATGAGAAGGCTTTTTTCGTAAATTAACCAACCTAATGAAGACCTAGTACTCGAAATGTGATCGCGATTTGCGGTATACTGTTATTTGAATGAACTGAATTCACTAGGTACCTGCTGCCAGAGCTCTCTGTAGATGAAAATATTTTTTCTAAGTATTGGGTAAAACGACATAAACATATTGTATATTTCTGCTTGAGGATAACGCTTACAATGCGGATCCGAGCAATTTGTGTAGGAGTGTAGAAATGTTTATAAGCATCCCTCTTAAAGTGCAAAATATTGGTTCAAGAAAGTTGCGTTAGTAACTAGTATGAGTGTAGAAGGCAAACTATTTGAGCGTTCTGACCACTCCGTCATAAATTCTACACCGACTTTGATTGGTAGCTTACAAAATTTCCCTGCAGATTTCAAATTTTTGTTGGATTTCACCGACAAGTACTGATAGTAAAATGGTCGTCTGTCCATCAAAGTGAAGGTCATTACACAGCCGCTCTATGCGTAGATATGCTGAAGTTACATTTCATCATGTATATCACTGTGTATGTAAAACAGCTGAGTAAATAACATATAAACTACACTTCAGCTACTAGATAGAAATAGTAAACTGGACCATGAGGCTGTTACTATCCACCATCTAAGGTGGTCAGTCATATCCCTTTTTTTAGCTACTGGTAAATATTGGATTTCAACAATGATCTCGCCCAAGATTCCTTTATTTCATTAGTTTTCCGAGCTATATTATTTATGCTTAGCATCTTGATATTCTTCTTTCGGTTACCTTGGTTTCCATCGTTTAATGTGCGGTATAGGAGATGTTTTCAATAATTTGATGAGCGGATTTTTGGTTGTCAAACTGTAGTAGGGTGTTAATCCAATGATGTGAGACAGCTGAATGATGGCTATTCACGAGACATCATTATTGTTTTAAGCCCCATAATGATCAGAAATCAAAGGTAAAACTACGAACCAGATGAATAGACATAGTAGTCATTGACAATTGGAGGAAATTAGCTCATTTGTTACTCATTCTCCAATCAATATGGGTTAATTAATTAATAAGTGCATAGAAAACATGCATTTACTACCAGTATATCAGATGAATTCTCGGTACCTCGCTGGAATAATGGGTGAAAACTTACCATACTGTTAAACCTGTGCGACACTGATAATTACCTTTAATTTTGGATACCTCAGCTAATAAATATACAAGTAGCTAAAATCAAAAGCAGCTATTAAAAACTAAGTGGATATATCGTTTTTACACAGCTTTATAAGCTTATCACGCTTCATGGTAGATTCTCTATATCACAGACCATCCTTTTTCTACAAAAGCTCACTCGTAGGGTCGGCATGTTAGAATCTTTTATCGAGTCATAAATACTTTTGCGGCCGTCTTCTCGTTGTCTTTAATAATGTGTAAACATTTTCTGCAATGCTGACGCAACTTCCTGAAAACCATCCAGGTTAAATTCCTGACGCCTTTAACTGTTCTTTACAAATGATAATATCCTTCGTCCTATGGGTCAGTAATGACGTTATTTAACTAGATTTACTTTGAACTTTGGGAAAAACAATTGACATTCCAGACGGAATCTGCACTAGCACTAAGTGCTTCGTGAAATTTTGCATCCACAATACGTTATTCTCGTACGATGGCATAACAGCTGTCTCCATCAGCTGTCACTATTTTCTGCCGTTTGCGCAGATATCTAAAAGTCGCTATATTGATTGGCTTGGTAGTGTGGTTCCACAAATAGGAAATACGAGCGTCTTAGATACAACACTCATTAATGACAAAAGTTTCCCAGTCTTAACGAGCTTCCCTAAAGTTCATGTATCAAATTCAGCTAGCTGGACCTACATGCGTGGTTTGGGGTTCTGAATACTACTTGAGTACCCAGAGCTAGTAACGTACCTGGTTAAAATGTCAAGAGTTGATACCCCTACGCTTATTTACGTGAGCCAGACTCGTGACTAGATTTCCAAACGTATTCTCGCAATGCGTTCTTATGACCTATTCCATTTCTTATAAGTAGATTTATGCATGTATCACAATCAATTAAACGATTAGTAAGTTACTTAGTGTTTTGCACACTCACTTTATCCTTCAAAGAAAAAATGTATTTTACTTCAAGCCTTCTTGAATATTCAGTGTAATAATCTCATTTTTCTGATACGTGTTACATTATTATTTACTGAATTACTTTTATTAGGTTGACTGGATTTTACAATATGACCCACCTGATGACGCCAAAGAGTATATACATCGAGTTGGTCGTACAGCTCGAGCAGGCAGCACGGGAAATGCTTTGCTAGTGTTGAGGCCTCATGAATTAGAGTTCCTATCAATTCTAAGAAAAGCTCGAGTTAAAGTTGTAGAGTATGAAATAGCCAATTCAAAGATGGCGGATGTGCAACCAGCTCTGGAGAAGTTGGTCAAAAACAACTATTTCCTTGCTCTTTCTGCTCAGGAAGCCTTCAAAGGTATAGTTCGTGCTTACGCTTCGTCTGGCCTAAGCTGTTTCAATGTAGATGAACTAGACTTGGCCGCAACAGCAAGAACATGTGGACTATCAATTACTCCCAAGGTGGATTTGAATGTAAAATCAAAGAGAACACGAGAAAATCCAGGCCAAAAGCGTTATAAACCATTTGGTGTATCTGACAAGAAAGCCAAGAAAGCTAAAATTTATAAACGAATATCTTGATCATATGTAATTCTTCACGCACTATGTATATATCACAAAATTTCCGTTTTGAATAAGATACAACTTAAGTTGATGGAAACAATGAGAAATATATAAATTAAAGTAATATATATTTTTCGCTATATACATGATTTCATAGGTATCCAGAGTACTTGTCGTACAGTTGATCTACTTCTTGTTGTACAGAACCGATATCTGTGTGTGGTATAGGATATCTATGTTGGCCAAATAAGCCTCGGGCTTTGTTTAATTTATACAGTGCTGTTTTGTAATCTAAGTAAGACAAAGAACATTTAGCTTGATACAGGTACAGTGCAGCGTAGTGGTTTGGGCGCAATTCTTCAGCCTGTTCAATCAAACAAATGAAATAACTTAATTAGACGGAAGTTGAACGCTAATAAATACTGAACTAAATTCTTTAAATCTGTGCTTACCTTTTCAAATGCTGTCTCAGCTTCCTCAATGGTAGATGTCGGAGGCTTGCCAAATAACCTAGATGCAATCTGGCGCTCAATCCACGAAACATTATACACCTAAGATTAAAATGAAAAACAAGAACAGTTAGGAGAATGTGTCATTCATACTGTTGAACGTCCTACCTTGTAGCTGACTGATTGCATGTATCTAACATTCTGTAGATAAAGTGTATTATCTAGTTTTTTTTTGAGAAAGAATAAGTCTTCTGCATTAATCTATGGTACTAATGTGGCTTTTTTAAGAGCTGTAAAGACACGAAGTATTATCAAAAACTTCTAACTAACGAGAAATATTATTGCATGTAGAGTAGCCAAACATAAAGAAGGACTGAGAATTTATTGTTTGAGATGCAACATAGGTAGTGTTCAAAAGGGGTGACAAGGAAAATTTGGGAGGAAATCGGTTTGTTTGAAATTCTGTTTTCTTCGATAAAATATTTGTACCTTCTCGACGGATGATGAGAAAACTACTTTCAACAAGTTAAATTATTATGAGCAATAGAATTTCCTGAATGGCAGCAAGTTACATACCTCATAACACCAACGACCTCGTAGATAATAGGAAAGGGCATCAGAAGTGTCAAGCTTGATTGCTGTATCAATTAATTCCTTTAACAAATTACAAAAAACAGTTGAAATTATATATATATATATATATATATATATATAAAGTGCGGTATATAAAACTATTAACGATTGAATCCAAAAAAGTAAGACTGAACGTGTATGCACACAGATTTAATTCAAATTGCCATACATGGTGTATATGTTCATTCACGAAGTTAACTTCTAATGCTTGTGAAATCAGACTTGAGTTGCACAACCACTTAGTGACTGAGGACTAACGAATTATCTTATCACTAACCAAGGGAAGTGTGACGGCGCATTGCATGAAAGATTTTCATATTGATGCTTATCAATATGTTGAAAAGAGAGGCTTTATATATTGCACATTCTAAAGATGAACCAGATAAAAATATGATATTCCTTGCTTATGGTTACATCGTATTAAAAGACTATTCCTCACATGATGACACTTGGATCTTTAATATATTTAAGACTTTGGAGGATGGATATACCAGAAAACTATGACAGAGTGGTTGTCTAAGTATAGTATGCAAGTATGACAGAACAATGTACACTTTTTACAAAAACATTTGCTAATTGCACATTGGTAACAGCCGCTGTCAATAGATACAAACCTAATCGTATGAAAATGAGAAAATCTACGTGAGTAATAATTCGCTAAAGTAACTCATCACTTACATGTCTACATACTCGGATTTAAGCCACTGTAGGATCTACTGGTACTACTCGGCTGCCAGAAGTGATGTACGTGGGATAAAGTTTCAAAAACAAGACCCAGGAAATGCAATCCAAGTGCTTGGACCACTAATTCGCTATTGATGACCTACATATTCACAGTAGCATTGACCCATATTGATCGAAAATCAGATGCAAAAATAAACTCGTACATCATATTTGTCTGCATTTATGCACATCGTTGAGATCGCTTAATTCTTTTGTTATTTATCCACTTAGTTATTTATTTGTAATCAACAATGGATTTCTTTCCATATAGAATGTCAAATGATGTGAATGGGGCTAAATAAAAAGCAAGTATAGTACATCTAGATAACTTGCCTTAAACTCATAACCATACTGTATTCTTTGTTGAGCACTGAGGTAAGATGAATAGACACCAACTAAAATAGCTAACCATTTATATATTGGAGCTAGTTTTGTTGGATCGTTATCCAGCGGTGGTGGAGGAGCTCTTTGTGCGAGACTTAACGCTCGACGTGCATGTTTTATTCCTGACTCAATAAACTGTCGACGAGTTTGCATTTTATAAGCAATATCATTTAAGGTATGGTGACCGTGTGATGCATCATCCTTTTGTGACACAGCTTCATCTAATGGCGCTTCTACGCTGGCTATGTAGGTAGCACGAGCTAAACGCCACAAGAATTCTGGGCAATAGCGATACTATAACAAGTGTAAAACAGAAAAATTCGAACCAATAATACAATTGTACATTCACATTATGTTTAAAAATTAAGAAACAAAATTTAATACTCTGTAACTGCATGAAAATTCATACATCTGTTACAATTAGAATTATATATGAGTTACCACAATCGATAGTTTTAATCCTATAAAATGTTATAGATGAAAAACTTGGGCAAAATCAGCGATACTTGTCATTAGTTTGAGTGTTAAAATATGCCAGGAAGAATTGCCAAAATATCTCAAAAATCGGTATTCATTTGGTGCGAACTGAATATTAAGATTAAATTACGCTCAGTTCCTTTATGCTATTTAAACTTATGTTGATCTTATTCAGTTACTTATTCATTTACTCTGAAATGCCTTACACTAAATTACAAAACGTCAGAAATACTAATTTCTACACATTAGGATATTACAAATATATCATTACTTTATTATTAACATTCTATGCAGTCCTCAACTTATTTGAAATTGCCAAGTCTTATCTTGGTGATAATATCTATAATCCAAGATAACATTTACATTTGATAATGCTTAATTTATGTACAATCTACATGTGCCATCACATTTCGCTTGTAATATATCCAAAATGAAATACAACCCTATTGACTAAAATTTTTTTCATTTCTCATTCTACGCCGCCTGGATTCCCTCTGAGGGCTACTGCCAGTCCCAAGCCCGGATAAAGGAGGAGGGTTGGGCATGGGGCTAGCGACCCTATCCCGTAGAGAACTAACTCGCTAAAAAACGCTAACCAGAAAAAATTATTCAAACCTTTTAAACTCTGCCCTGGGAGTCAGAAGGTCTTCATTTAGAAGAGTTATGACGCCTCATGATGAAAGCCGAGTTCCTTCGGAAGTTACGAGGCCGATGCCCCTTCTGACAATCAGAGCGACCATTTATTTGGGTACATGGAATGTTCGTACAATGTGGGACACCGGGAGAGCCTTCCAAATCGCTGCAGAAATAAGGAGATACAACCTAGAGGTGCTTGGGATCAGTGAAACACATTGGACGCAGGTTGGACAACAACGACTAGCTTCAGAGGAGCTTATTTTCTACTCTGACCATGAAGAAAAATATGCTCCAAATACACAAGGAGTTGCATTGATGCTGTCTAAACGAGCACGAAATGCACTTATAGGATGAGAATCTCATGGACCAAGGATCATCAAAGCCTCCTTCAAAACAAAGAGGGCATTTCAATGAACATCATCCAGTGCTATGCGCCTACCGACGACTACAATGAAGACGCTGAAGATCAATTCTACAATAGGCTGCAGTCAATGATCGAGAAGTGCCCAACAAAGGACCTGACCATTCTGATGGGAAACTTCAATGCCAAGGTTGGAACGGACAACACTGGATATGAAGACATCATGGGACGACACGGGGTGGGAGAAAGAAACGAAAATGGTGAGATTTGCAAACCTATGTGCCTTCAATAAACTGGTCATAAGCGGCACCATATTCACACATAAGCTCATTCACAAAAGCACATGGACTTCACCGGATCACACCACTTAAAACCAACTCGACCATATCTGCATCAACAAAAGGTTCAGTAGGACGATGGAGGACGTGAGAACCAAGAGAGGAGATGATATAGCATCAGATCATCACTTACTGGTCGCCAAGATCAAATTGAAACTTAAGAAGCACCGAACAACGGGGCGGAGAATATCACAAATGTTCAATACGGCCTTTCTTCAGGATACTGACAAACTCAACAAATTCAAGATAGTCCTCAGCAATAAGTTCCAGGCCTTTCATGATCTACTCAATGGAGAAGGAACTACTATGGAGAGCAACTGGAAGGGGATCAAAGAGGCAATCACTTCAACATGTCATGAGGTCCTGGGTCACAAGAAGCACCATCACAAGGAATGGACCACTTTTGGTACATTGGATAAGATTCAAGAGAGGAGGAACAAGAAAGCAGCAATCAATACCAGTCGAACAAGAGCAGAAAAAGCCAAGGTACAAACTGAATACACAGAAGTAAACAAACAAGTGAAGAGGAGCATAAGAACCGACAAACGTAAATATGTGGAATATTTAGCAACGACGGCGGAAAAGGCTGCAAGAGAAGGAAACATGAGACAACTGTATGACACGACAAAGAAACTCTCTGGAAATCACCGCAAGCCAGAACGACCAGTGAAAAGCAAGGAAGGCGAGGTAATCACCAACATTGAAGAGCAACAAAAGAGGTGGGTAGAACACTTCAAAGAACTCTCGAATCGACCATCCCCACTGAACCCACCCAACATCGAAGCAGCACCCACGGACCTCTCAATCAATGTTGGCCCACCAACAGTTGAAGAAATCAGCATGGCCATCACACATATCAAGAGTGGCAAAGCAGCAGGACCAGACAACATTCCAGCAGAGGCACTGAAAGCAGACGTAGCGGCAACTGCAAGGATACTCCATATTCTCTTCAATAAGATTTGTGATGAGGAACAAGTACCAACAGACTAGAAAGAAGAACTTCTGGTCAAAACACCAAAGAAAGGCGATCTCAGCAAGTGCGATAACTACAGGGGCATCACTCTTCTCTCAATACCGGGAAGAGTCTTCAACAGGGTATTGTTGAACAGAATGAAGGACTGTGTAGACGCCCAACTTCGTCACCAACAGGCAGGAGTCCGTAAGGATAGATCGTGTACAGACCAAATCGCAACTCTACGGATCATTGTGGAACAATCAATTGAATGGAATTCATCACTCTATGTCAACTTCATTGACTACGAGAAAGCATTTGATAGCGTGGACAGAACAACACTATGGAAGCTTCTTCGACGCTACGGCGTGCCTGAGAAGATAGTCAATATCATACGGAATTCCTATGATGGATTAAACTACAAAATTGTGTATGGGGAACAATTGACAAACTCGTTCGAGGTAAAGACCGGTGTCAGGCAAGGCTGCTTACTCTCACCCTTTCTCGTTCTTCTGGTGGTCGACTGGATCATCAAGACGTCAACATCTGAGGGGAAGCACGAGATACAATGGACAGGTAGAATGCAGCTGGACGATCTAAACTTTGCAAGATGATCCGGCTCTTCTATTGCAAACGCAACAACAAATGTAGGGGAAGATGACAAGTGTAGTAGCAACCTCAGCAACAGTAGGTCTCAATATACACAAAGGGAAAAGCAAGATTCTCCGTTACAACACACTATGCACCACTCCAATCACAATCGACGGGGAAGATTTGGAAGATGTAAGAACCTTTACATATCTGGACAGCATCATTGATGAACATGGTGGATCTAATGCAGACGTGAAGGCGCGGATCTGCAAAGCAAGAGCAGCATCTTTACAATTGAGGAACCTCTGGAACTCAAATCAACTGTCAACCAACATCATGGTCAGGATTTTCAATACAAATGTTAAGACAATTCTACTGTATGAGGAGGAAACCTGCAGAACTACGAAAGCCATCATCCAGAAGATACAAGTGTTTATTAACAGTTGTCTACGCAAAATACTTCGGATCCGTTGGCCAGACACTATTAGCAACAACCAACTGTGGGAAAGAATAAACCAGATCCCAGAGGAGGAAGAAATTAGGAAGAAGCGCTGGAAGTGGATAGGACACACATTGAGGGAAGGACCCAACTGCATCACAAGGCAAGCCCTCACATGGAATCCTGAAGGCCAAAGGAAAAGAGGAAGACCAAAGAACACATTACGCCGGGAAATGGAGATAGATATGAGAAAAATGAACAAGAATTGGATGGAATTAGAAAAGAAGGCCCAGGACAGAAGTGGGTTGGAGAGTGCTGGTCGGCGGCCTATGCTCCATTAGGAGTAACAGGCGTAAGTAAGTAAGTAAGTACTTTTTGTTCGAGCGTTATTGACAGGCAAACTCGTTATCAGTTTCCAATCCAGAATTACAGCAAATCACCCAACAAAGATCTAACGACCATTACTTTTAGATTTTACTCACAGCAAGTATTAAAACGTCATATTAGAGGTATCTCCGATGCTATTTTCGGTCTCTTATAGAGTACTATTTCTCTCAAAGTTGCGAATACCCTTTTTTAAAGAGATACAAATCAACTAGAAGCACAACTTTAAGGCATCTTACCAACTATCTTCAACTCTAAATACAACTTTTGAGAAATAATTTCAACAAATAAAAACACTGACAGAGAAAAACTGCAGCTTAGGTTGATGCATTTTGTGGTGTTACGTTCTCCAAGCCCTGGGGATAAAATTTTAGAAACATCGATGTGCATTTGAGGCAGGTGATCACAAAATCTTCCAAATTAAACCACAGCTCACAGAATGCAACACCACTAAAATCCAGACGTTATTATCCATTTTGATAGACGTATGAACAAAATAATGAATACAGTATAGTTATTACAATTAGTTCCACTGCACATACATGTTTGTGGAATACCAATCAGTAAAAAACTGGAAATTCAATTAACGAACAACTGTAACAATCGAATAAAAATTCGTACCTTTTCCATGTATACTAAACATCTAGCGTAAGCTTGTATGCCTGGATTGATATCATTGTCATTAGGATTCATTTGTGAGTCACTTGATGAATACTCACCTAAAGCATAATCAGCCAGTTTATCTATTTCCTCTAGCACATCGGTCGGAACTTGAACTGTCATCGACCAATAAGAAGAGTTGTTGCTTAAATGACTACCAACACTTTGAAATGAATTTGCCGACGATAAAATTTCCTCTGGAAATTTACTGAACTGCATCGATGGGGAATTCATGCTTCGATTGTGAGGAAAAAAACGGAAATGGATGGCACAATAATCTAAACATCAAAGACAACTTCCATAGATTAATAGCCTGATTCAATGCTGACAAAGAATGCATTAGCCTTAGATCTGTAAACAACAACTTAGTTAAGACTAGTTTAATCTGCTTTCCATAAATTTACGCAGTTCGTGTCAGAATACTATTTACATCAGAACACATAGATTGGGTTTACACCTGTAACCCGGCAATTGAAGATTTTACGACAAACTAATTCTTGCAAAACTATTTTACTGAATTTACAAAATAATGAAAGTCACGTTGGTCACTATCAAAAGTCACAGCCAGCTGATAATCAAAGAAGCCAGAACAACGAATGGATGGAATTAATGCACTGTTTAGATCTTTTTTAGCTAACTGTAGCAATCGAAGTAGCTATTTCCTCTTGAATTGTGAAAACATGAAGTACTGAGTTTAAATAAGAGGTCTCTTAGAGTATCAAGAGATACAGACCGACTTCTAGACTTACTTGGGTGTTTTCTTGATAAATCTGACATTTAACTCTAAAAATAACGCTTAAGAGGGAAGTACTTTTGATGAAATTAAACCTAAAAGTTTCAGAATATCACTCCCAGTCCCAACTATGCTCATTGACATCAAATTATTGTTTAATTCTAACTATCCAGACGTTGTTTTTCGTAAATTGAATCTTCGGTACGATGTTGTTTTTTAGATTTTATTTATCTCACTTATAACTGAAAAGTGAGAGTGGCTGCACACAAAATAATGACAAAGACTCGAAAGCAACTAGAACTTACTCATCACCGAAATTTTCCACATCGAAGTAGTTTTCGTAATCATCATCTAGGTCGTATTCATCATCGCCTATAAAAATTGGTGGGACGTCATCCTACAAGAGTAATGTATAGTTAAGACAAAATATATAAACAAAACATATGTGATGTTTTGAATACTAAAATGCCAAAGTTAACACAACAGTTAAAGGTAAAACATCAACACCTGTTTGGTTGCTTTCGCTGTCACTGTTATATAACCTTCGTAGGATTGAATAAATAATTCACGGTCGAGTCACCTCTCCTAAATATATAGATGAATTTAATTCAGTAGGAATCCTTCGACCAGAGAACAGTTGTCATGATATCTAATCTCCCTCAAATCCAAAGCCTATCGTCAAGGGGATTTACCTGTTCGGTCTATTCAGTCTAGTCTTAGTTAATTCACAACCATATTTATTGTTTAATAGTAACGCCGAACAGCTGAAGACGTGCATGGGATGTTGTACCATAAAGAGCACTTAAAAGTGCTACCTTGAGATGCAAAGATGAAAGCATCGATTTGGTTTGTTCTATTCGAATTTGTACATAAAAGTTGGCATCTACAAAATGTATTAAATAGCTGAAGGCTAATGAACTAGTTCACACATGTAGAGCCAACAGTCCCAGTAAAATAGGTAAATAACCTAGTATCTGTTGCAGTCTTTTCAAACTGTTGAGTCATGCATTAAAAAATACTGATCTCTAAATAGAATTGGTGCGGCGATGACATCATTGGTTGTATGTTGTAAAAATGAAGATCATATAACTCTGAGGTAAGGCTTAAGGTACTAGGTAGATAGAGAAATCCATTCATGAGGCTATGAACACTCATCGCCTCAGATGCTTAAATACATGTCACGTTTTTTCAGCAACTGTTCGCTTTTACATATCATACTGGTTAGCAAACCAGTCAGTCAGCAACAACTTAGAACTTCGTACGTACGTACGTACATCAGTTTGAGTTGCCATGCCACATTAGCACAGAGATACAATTGTCGATTGAAATCCCGTACTAGTAGAGGTAGTAAAAGTATAAGTAGTAATCGGAAGGATTAGGGTTTGAAGATGTTATTCAAGGAGTACAAACAAAAACAGAAATAAGGTGTTGGTCACTATTTTGACTTAACAGAATGAGCAACAAATATTTGTGGATATCTACCGTTCCGTACGTACAAATTAAGACAATAATTTTCTCAGAGAATAGCTTCGTTTAACAGATCATATAACCTCAAAGAAGCTTACTGAAGAAATCTTTTACTAACAGTTCACAAATGTATAATTTGAAGTTTGCGTTGCAATAATTGGTAAATTTCGATATCCTATTTAATGACTGAATAATTTAGTTCATCTAATATGGAAACTAGAATTAGTAACTTGATACTATGTGTACTGCTACTGAAGTGAACGAAAACTCAGGAGAGGTAAACCAATTTATTGTTTTGTGCAAAATCAAACAGTAGTTTTGTAAAATATGAAATTCACACATTAAACACATTATTTGCTTATTCTCATTTGGTTGTTCTTTACACACTTAGTCGTCCTTCCGATTCTGTTGTTATTCCAATTGCTCACTGATTTCATTGCTCTTCTCCTTATTTCACTCTTCTGTTGGTAAGCATTCTACTTCCCATTCCTGCTAAATACTATCTATATTCGTCTGCTAAGTAATGCATACCACATCACATTGTGTGACATTGAATATTTTCCAGAAATTTAAATTATGTTAAGGCCATATGAATTACAAGACTGAAATTGGCTTTGTGGTCAAGTATGAGAAGTTTGGTATATGAGAAACCCCCTCTATCAGTTGGTATGGTCTTATTATTATTGTTTCTACTGATCGTACGGTGATTTTAACTAATATTTTAATTTAGTCTATCAATCATGCTTAGAAATCTAAGTAACTGAATATTTCGGTACAAACAGAAACATTCATTGTCCCAATTTAGAACAAATAAAATAGTAACACAAAATACTCATCAATATAGATCGATATAGGACTTTAATGTATGTAATGAATAGTTGATACTTAAAGCTGACGAAGTTGTTTAAATATATATGAACGATCCCCTAATGAACACATGTAGTTCGCTTAAATTCTCTTCACTAATACATTACACTATTTGAGGTTCGAATTGCCGTACTTCAAATGTAACCGAATCTCACAACGGTATGATTCTTTCAAAGTATAACACCATAATGATTTATCTTATTTCCATTTGAAAAATTCCTATATTGTGACTTAGATCCTCACCAGGCTTCACTCTAATATACATTAATATTTATATACATATATGATATTATTAAACCAATCAAGGCAGTTTATGAGTCAATGATAACAGTGGGATAGATTACAGAAATAAACATAATAAATGAAAAGTAGAAATTGGTAATGTGATGACAGGTGTACTAGATGCGATAGAAATAATAAAGGCTTGAGTCAATGTTACATAATGGGAAATAGGTCAATGATTAGAAAAATATAGACACTGAAATAACATTTACAAAAATTATAAGATTACGCAATAGGAAGTGTTTAGATAATTGGACCATGAAACGTATATTTGAGAAAAAAAGAAAAGGGTGGGAGAGGGTGAAGCAAAATAAACGAAGAAAGAGTATGACAAATAATAATAAATAAAATCATTTATTAAAGCCAAGGGAGAGATAAAGGTGTTACAAATTTCTTATGGACACTAAGACTTGGAGTGTTGACTCGAATTCCTATAGCTTCTGCTGTGTAAGAGACGAGATGGAAACCCGTAAGGAAAACTAATAGGAATACGATAAATAACATTAAATGACTTATTTCTGTCTACTACATGACCGCTATCGAACAAGTGTGATAGAAGGGAGAAGCGTATTGTCCTGAAAGTACCTTTTCCTAACCACGAAGGGAGGTGTTCACTAACTCTTTGGATCAGTTGTCTGGTAGTGCGCCCAATATAGCTTTCTCTACAGGAGCAGCTGAATTCGTAGATACACATAGAAGTGGAATAATCAGGTAAATTATCCTTTGGTTGAGGATTGGTTTAATAAATTCGTATATGCATATAAATATTACTGTATATTAGAGTAAAGCCTGATGAGGATCTAATCAAAAATAATATTGTTCGCTTATTTCCATTTAACTATATAGTGTTTTAAACATCATGAACTCATGTAGTATGAAAGCGAAAAATTGATATTTCCACTCTAAAAACTAATGAAATGTGTAATAAATGTCCATATAATATGGACTACTACAAAATTCTGACTAACTGAACACTGCTTATGGTGAAATATTTTAAAATTGAGTGCATGTTGAGGCTGCTAACCTAAAGATGTATCATCCAATTGACTTATGTCCGCTGCTTTGACCAACTACAGAATTTGTCAGGATGATAATAATTTGGCACACTTATAGATAATCAGAAATCTGTCTCCCAGTCCTTAGCTAGTCTTGATATGTATCTAACTTGAGGTACAAATTTATATATCACCGAATACCGCACCTAACAATTAAAAATCATATTTCGATATAACCATCTTACCGAGACGATAATATGATAATGAAAACAACGTAAAGAAAATACTTACATTGTCTTTGCTATCTAAACTCTTTACGTGAGTATTATATAATTCATTACGCAATTCCGACAGTTCCGCTCTAACACTGGCTAACTGTTCAGTCATATGACGCAATTGTTCACTCTGTTTATCACGTTTCAAGAATAGTAATAAACCATTTAACAGACCATGTGAAAGGATCCCTAGTGCGAATCCTAGTCCAGCACCCAGGAGAGCACTTAAAAAGGTACGCTTGTCTACACGTCCACAACTCAATATTCCAGTACCAAAAATAGTTCCAGCAGTTGCAGCTTTCGACAATCCGGTGTTCTCACTGTTTGCCATGATATCTATGGTTTTGAAATGAAATTTTAAAAAAATTATACGAAAAGTTTGACCTTAAGGCATTATAAGGAACTTCATGTACTTGGTATCAACAAAGAACACTGAAAAAATAATCATAGGTAACAGAAAATGGGTGAAATGCAGCCATTTAACACAATAATTAAATGCACGTTCAGAAACTAAGCCATGAGCTACAGTTTTCCGACAGATGATGATATTAATTGGTTTGTAAAACAGATATATATGGGAGATTAAAACCTATAAACAGGTATACTGAAGACAAAATGCTCAGTGAAAGAGTTAATTAACAACCAAAAGTTGTATCACTTTACTGACTTTGATAAAGTAAAATATGCATCATGAAATACCAAATAAACATTACTTTTATCCTAACATTTAAATTAATTTTCAACCCACAATAGTAATATTTAAAAAACTAGGATGAGTACAAAAACTTCCATCCAGGCAATATTTATTCATCTTGTCTAAAGCAACGATCTTTATTCCCGGACCATACATGAAAATAAGGGCACCACTGTACGTTGATGACGAAAAGCAACTTAAATGCTAATGAAAAACATACTACATTTTGGAAAGGAGTTTATCTAACAAAAACGGAGGAGAATGTGCAAGAGAAATATAATTGAAATAACTGTACTGCCAAACACTAACTTAATGAATCATTAAAAACACTAATATGTTATTTATTTCAAGCATGAAGGGTTGATGAAGCATAAGCACCAATGTACCCTCTTTCAAAAACAAAATGAAATTAGGGAAAAGTAGGAGGGATGTCACTGATAATGATCTCAGTAATATGATGAGACATTCAGGAAATCTCGCTACTACGGAATCTCATATATACTGAATAGGATTACTTAAAAAGAAGTAATACATACTATTGTATTTACAGCAAAATGCTACAAATGTGCCACAGAATTTTAGATTGATCTTATAAAGAGAATGTCTTTGGGACCAACTCAGATACATGCGTTTCTGAACTACTTTGAATAATTCACGTAGACAGTGAGTATAAACGGGATCCCAACAACCTTGAACAGGTAGTTGGTATTAGGTTCCGACTGCCAAACCAACAACTGTAATCGGTAAACATTTACCTTATCGCATATCCAACTAATAATGTTATCATACACAATTTCAGGTTTTCTAGGCACAAAGTATTTTTATCGTCACCATAAAACTCCCTTTAGATCTCTGTCATAAATATCATTGGTCTCAATTGTTAAAGGAAGAGAGGAAATCACGTCATTCTATCTCCGCTATTAGTCTTGGAAACAAGGTCTTTAGCATTCATTTTCTAGCAGAAATCAGAATGCATGTGACAAAAAGTGAGACATTAAAGTCGCACGGATACTGAAGGCATATATAAAACCTATTTCCCCAGCATTTTAAGTTTCTTATACGAGTCAATTTACAAAACTATTTAGCTAAATGGTTAGTGGAAAATGGGATACGTTTTTGCAGATTAATAAATGCAACCATAAATCAGCTAACATCACTAAGGTGGTTTTAAGAACCATAACATTTGGAAAATGTATAAAATACATTGAAAGTTGGTACCGAAACGCTTTTCAGATGATACTTCGAATAATAGGTTTTAAAACTAAAACGTCCAACGGAGCCGAAAGTTCGAGGACTACTACAGCCAATATCAAAAAGGTACAAGTATTTATAAACACTTGTTTACACGAGATACTCAATGTCCATTGGTCTGATACCATCAGCAACAGTCTACTGTGGGAGATAACAAAACAACTTCCAGCTGAAGAGGAAATTAGGGAAAGACGTTGGAAGTGGATAGAATACACATTGAGGAAATAATCAAACTACATCACGAGGCAAGCGTTAACTAGGAATCCTGAACGGATACGGAAAAGAGGAAGACCAAAGAACACGCTGAGTCGAAAATTGGAAGCAGACATTCAACGGATGAATAGCAACTGGAAACAACTTGGATTACTTAAGAAAGAGTTGGATGGAGAATGCTAGTCGGCAGCCAATGCACCTCTACGAGGGTTAAAAGGCGTAAGTAAGTAAGTAAGGTTAATAATCACATGGATCATCAAAGACAATCATCCTTGTGCACCGGATTAAGAGAATTTCTAATATACAAGTTATGATCCACACTCGTGCAAAGGTTTAAAGTTATAACCCGGGCACCCAAACCTTAGCACCTAGTTTCCTCTGGACTAATAACATACTAATTGAATATCAATTGCTGAGATCAGAGTTACTAGCCTAATAACAGTTTATCTAGTTCACTTGTTACGAATACTTATTTAATTTATAACTCTACATAGCTACGCATAGATAATAAATTTTAATTACCATATAAATCCAATAATCTCATATATTAGTATTGTTACAATCTTTGAAATTACAAGTAAGATTACAAACATAAATGTGCTTTATTTGGCAAATGACCTAACAAAATGAGAAAAATGACTAACTAATTGAAAGACTAATCGATAGTTTTTGTGATCATCAGTCATACGAATAAGTCAATGCAAGTATATTGAGTCACATATAAAAATGCTTAACAATAATTACTGGGTTTAGTCAGTAGTTATTAATCTAACTGACTCTCCAAACACTTGGGTATGAAATAAACTTTAAATGTGAAGGCTAATGATAGTACTCGGTTACCCAAACCGAATTGTATACGCTTAGTAAGGTAGGAAAATAAAGTAGCATACAAAGGTAACTTGTTATCAAATGGTAGCTTTCTACAATTCTGACTAGGCACAGAAAACAAACATCAGTTTGGCCTTTTAGGATTGAAGTTAAGTAAAACCACTGATTGATAAGCCAATACTAAATGAGTGAACTAACATATTAAGATTGTGAAAGTAAATGAGGGAGGAAATACGTTTGACAATAACTAATAAACTTATTACATAGAACGTATTGTAAACCAGCCTTTTCTCTTAGCATACACGAAAATTGGTTTTCGTAATTGAGTAAATATGAATACGCATACGCAATATCACTATAACTACTTATTATTTATTTTAACACATAGATATTAGTACAAGGAAGCACCGAATACATATGCGCCACACAAATCTCATTCGATATGTGTGAGGGCTGTGATACTGCCCGGGTGCCCAAACCGAAGCAGGTGTATAACTACTTCTTGAAGTTATAACGTTGTTAGACATTGGTAACGATCAGTAGTATATTTTATTCATACATTGCAGTGTACCAAAACCTAATCACACACTATTAATCTTATGTGAAATGATGAACATGTAACCAAAGAAAACTATGTTTCATTTTTATACGAAATCTACCAAAACACAGGAATGTCATGAACTTCGGTACGTAAGCTTCCAATCTAAAAGCATTACCTAACAAATTAAGGTAAACGACAAAAACAGCAACAGTTACCTATTAATTTGAAAGGTATCTTCCAAATGCAGGATTTTGTTATACTAAGCTATCTATTATGGGCATGTTATATGGTATCGAAGAAATTTAGTGTCATGAATCACTTATTTTAAACCGTTGTCAACATGAATATTATTCTAGCTGTCGACTTACTTTGAAAATGTCAATACACGTAATGTATCATACTTAAGGACAGAAGGTAAAATGAATTTGTATGAAGTTCCAAATGGGTTTAAACTACACGATATATCTAAAAATGAAATACACCAAATCATTCTAAAGATGTACTAAATTTGCCAGGCTTAAGTGTAAACAGTAGTTTACGTCTAAATTATTAGTTAATACAACAGATTAGAACATATCCACTATTACGCAAGTGTGCCAGTATGGTCTTCACTACAGAAACACTTTTAGTAGAGGTCTTAAGTTTAAGGTAAAGAGTGAATCTGCATATGCATGTTACATAAGTTCTTAAAAACTCTCAGCCAATTAGTAATTTATTGCAAAAACTTAAGCAAACGATGGAGTTATAGAAAAGTAATGCAGGTTTTTCACGTTTGGTCAACGAACAGTTGTTCAGCTTTTCATTGAAAATAAGGTAAGTTCGACGGATCTACCGAGGGATGTAGGGAATAAGATAATAGACAACAATATTCGCAGTAAATATTTATTAATAAAGACGGAGGTTATATGAACTTCTGCGTCTGTTCAGCTAACTAGGTGCATTTTATTGAGCAAAAAAGACTGATAAGGTCAGAGACATTTGAGATCGCTGACAAAACATCTCGCTAGTCTGATATAGTATAAGCAGTATGGTTATATTTAGTCATGAGGTCCTTTAGTACAGACCAACTGAGGAGTATATGCCAAACTAATATCGTGCCATGCGCTAGTTACATGAAATTGGGCAGAATGGATAATCTGGCTATATATGTCATAGCATTGGAGACTAATAACGATGTAATAGTCACGTGTGACATACAAATGCGATATAATGCCCAATAAGCTTAGCAGCATTTATTCTCATTTAAAAAGCCACAAATAAACTTCACAAAGAAAATACGACACTCATTATAACAAATAGAATAATATTTAGGCTTTTAACAATGAAATAACTGATTATAGTTAAACGAGGACAAAATGCCATTGGGCTTACATTCACAGGATGATCATAATATCCAGTATGTTGTTTACGCAATGGACATAAGCAATGCACTTTAAACCTCATGCATATGTTAACTCCAATCGTTAATATACTTGCATGCGGCCCATAAAGATGGTTTTCAAGAAAAGTGTAATTCAATTAGGCTAAACGAAAATCTGAAACAGAAAAATTGATTCGGTAAGTGGAGGATCTACTTATATTCAATTAAATAGTGCAGGACAATTAATAATTTACAAAGTTTACCCAAGACAATATCTAAATCAAAACCAGATGTACTTGATCATTAACAATGGAATAGACTGACTTTAGAAGTCGGAATGTGGACTATTTATAATAGCACCACAAAGTACCCAAGCTGCCAATTTTGAGGAAAATCTGACCCATTTCGAGGAAGCCGCTATAGTAAACTTTGGGGAAATCAGACCCAAACCCTAAAATTTTCCCAGACCTGGGGATTTCCCCAAGGTTAGCAGCTCGGGTAATAGGAGTAATTCAGCCGTATGCATTCATAGGACTTCGACAACACCCTTTTGGTAGCAAAGGATTATTTACTTGGCGTGAGGATGTAAGGTTTGCTTGTGTGGATTGCTGACACTCCGATGATGAGACTATAATTTATGGACGAACCAATCATGTATAGGATGACAGGTCTCAGATATGTGGACATTCTCAAAGTCATCTAATTATGGCTCAAGAGTCGTCCATAGATCATGGTCTCACCAACAAATGTTTTACACTGTCTTTTTTGACAGCAACCAGAACTGACAGTTATCCGTCGAATATAAATCCGATACAACCCCCTTAGATTATAAGCTGCGCCATGGAGTACCTTGACCTTGGCTGTACTCGTAACATGGGTAATGATAGTGGGGAATGTTTTATTGTCATAAGTGCATTTACGGCATGTGCCAGACAAATGTGATGAAGCATCACTGGATACTGGTGGTCAATTTGCCACGGCAGCAACTGTTGACCCAGTCAAAACCGTTATCGTCCAGAGTAGTCTCGGCTTCAATGCTGCGACTGGTCGGAAATGAATGACGCTGTAACATAGAATAGAAGGAAAGATAACCAACAACAGCGCCTGTTTAGTTGAAAAGTCCTTGGTGGACTCACATTTCGCATTACAAATTGCTCCACTGAAGTCCTGAAATAAGACAATATTTAACCATTGCGTAGATGGAAAAAGTTTGGCCTCATCGAACATTGTCGTGAATCATTTCCCCCACTCACACAGCTCTGTTACAACAAGAACCAATAGTAAGCTCCCAGCAGTTAACACGTAGGATATGACATTATGATTGAAAGCCGTGAACACGACATTCAAAGAAGTCAAACCGGTTCCTAGTTTAATTATTTGGAGTCTAGAGAAGTCGAAAGGCAATGACCCTGCTCAAAGGCATACACACGATCTGAATTTAGTGGACTCTGATATCAGAAATATACTGCCTGAAGAAGTTTCAGGGGTACCTATCACGAGAGTAACAAGACTCGGTATGTAGGTTGGAGGTGAGACCCTGTAGTGGCATTGAACAATAACCGCACAATCCACAAAGCTGAACACGAGACTACTCAGGAAATAGATATTCAATATTTAACGCGGATAAATACCTAACGATGGAGAAGGCGCGAAGAATGAATTGAATGGACTGGAGTTGATCGAGTGGCATGGCTCGGCCGTGCAGGCGTGGTCTCTGCTGAATGTTACCTTATATCTTCTATTCATATTAAATATATTGTTCTTTCTCTAGCCTAACCTTGTTCTTCATCATGTATTGGTAATTGATACGATACAGTGAGTTGGTGTAGTCGATGGTGTGATTTCCACGTAAGATCTTATAGATTAGGCAGTTATATCATGACAAATCTACAAATTTAGGATTAGGTCTATTATTAGAGCAGTACTAATATCATAGTAGACTATAGTTCTACAACCCAAGCAGGAAGGGTTAATACTCGGAATTTTTGGTGAAAGAGACGTAACATGGAATAAATTATATCAAAGTCGTGACTCAAATATTTGTACCCGATCAAGTTGGCCGCTTGGGGATCGTGTGGAAGAATGCCATTATGTAGTTAAAATCTCTAAATTTATATGGAGAAACGAACCTTACGATTAAGGGTTTTCGGGTGGTCAGGTTTCGGAAGCCAATGCTTCCGAGACACGTATGGGTAGGACGAATGACTCTCAAAACATCTTAAATGTGTGCTGCACGAACAACCATAGTCTTACAAGTAAAACGTACAAGCTAGGTTTGGTGGTGGCCGAAATAATTTCTGATATAATTTCTGACACAGAAACTTGGCTCACCGTAGATATGGACTGTTCTCCCATCGTAACATCTGTATTAGAAGTGATAGAGAGAAGAGTCGAGAGGATGGTGTGTGATGATTAAAAGTATATGAACTATTGTACAAACAAGGAATCCGAGGAATAACGCAATTTAACCAAGAAGACCTATGTGAACACGAACGGGCGCATTGTATTTGGATGTCGAAATCAGACAGTCACAAAGTACGAAGAAATCGTTAGTTCATACAAACACTAGATCCGCCATAGCTTAAATTGGAGTCTAGGTTTCTGTATTCAGTTGTACGTCTTCTCCTTAAATTCATTCTGTGTCTGTTCGACATTGTGTTGGATGTGCACTCTGTATTATCTAGAACGTACTCATTAGTATTAGAAACAACAACCGAAATTAGAACAGACTCATTTGTTTTCTGGAATTGTACTTGATCAACAAGTCATTCTGTATAATTAAGTCATTGATATCTAGAATTCACACAACATATTCCCCGACATTCTTCAACACAATCCCCGTGAATAGTCGAAGATCATTCCCACGGTAATATGTAACTTCTGTAGACTCCAAACAGCTCATACTCAAAAGAAGAATTCTTCCACTTAATAACTCTGATGGAATCTCTTTCGCCGCAGAATGTTTAGCATTTCTATATCGCAGAAGAAACATATCTACTCCACTCTCCTGTTTATTAAATGTTGAAGCAGCAATAGAATCAATAGCAGTTTTTAATGTCCTGACAAAATCTTCTGCCTAGCCATTAAAACAAGGGTGTTTGGAAGTAGTAAACAGATGTCTGCATCACATACATGTTGTGAATTTATGTCCGGCTTTTTATCACGTGATTTATTCACCAATCAAAATACGACTCATACAATCTCAGCACTGTTCCAAGGCAATGACGTTCGACTTGTATGAGCAGTCTAGTGTCCTTATTGGTCCTATGTCCGCCTAGCCTGTCCACTTGAGTCCAGAACACCAATACCGGCTTCCACTATGCAAACCATATATTTCAAACATACTGTGTTAATATATCAAACAAACAAACCGCAACGCACCATGAAATAGGAAATAACATTTGCACACAATAAGGCCAAAAGTGACAGTGAACGTGGGAGGCAGCAGTTAATAAACTGAACATAGCTTAAGAACAGTAAATCGTACAATAATAAATTATAAGTCAAAACAAAGCTTATAACAAGGGGAATATAGATATACATAATCTAGTTACTGAATATTTACACCATGAGAATATATAAATAATATTAGTTCATTACTAGGTCTCAGTCGTTATTCGTAATGTAATCTTCACTAGGATAGTTCTACAACAATACCATACAACCAGATAGTGACTGTCCGCAGCAAAATGAGAGCCATTATCAGTCACTAACACCTTTCTTAATGCATGGATTATGAAGTCAAAATTCGGTGAAATTGTGGAAAAACTTCAGGCCACTTCGAAAAAGAGCCAGTGACCACAAGTGCATAATATTTGTCGGGAAATGGATCACAATAGTCTGTATGAACTCTCCGCCAGGCCTCAGACGATATTGCCCATTCTGTCCGCTTCATAAGCTGATTTTTTAACCCACGACATTTTCTACAACTATTTACTGTACGAAATAGATCTGCATTTGTCTCCGGCCACCAACATGTGAGCCTTGCCAAGGACTTCATTTTCTCAACGCCCAAATATCCACTATGAAGATCTTCGAGGAGAGACTTACACAACGAAGGAGGAACAAAAACACCATCATTTAAACACAAGATACCATCAGGAGTAGTGGACAACTCATTTCGCAGTGAAAAGTAGACAGAAAATCTACGTTTCAGATTACCTTTCCAACTTTTCCGTATAGCACTGAGTATGCATCCTAAGTATCGACGATCTTCACAATTGATTGATCACTGGGTGGCGATCAATCTCATGCTTGTCTAGTCCTTATTAGTGCAGATCGAATGCTATCGACTATGTTGCAATGTGGCCACCAGCCTAGGTGACTGGACACTGCGTGCACTATTGTGAGATTAGATGGTGGTTGTAGGTAGTCGACAGGAAACCCTGGACCCGGGTTTCGTGCTACTTGGCACTCGTCAGCAAAGTGTACCTGTAATCTTGAGGGAACTGGTGCTCCCTGGCGGATTCAATCTCGTGTCACCCAGCTTCACAGTCAGAGACGTTACCACTGAGCTATCCGACTGAGGACTAGACACTCACGACATTGATCGCCACCCAGTGATCAATCAGTTGTGATTACATCTCAGTCCTACAGGAGGTTAGTCACGGCTCGGATAGCTCAGTGGTAACGTCTCTGACTGTGAAGCTGGGTGACACGAGATTGAATCCGCCAGGGAGCACCAGTTCCCTCAAGATTACAGGTACATTTTGCTGACGAGTGCCAAGTAGCACGAAACCCGGGTCCAGGGTTTCCTGTCGACTACCTACAACCACCATCTAATATCTACGATCTTCTCCAGCGAGATCCGGACGTCTCACCGGTAGGGTTTGCACTAACAAACAATCTGAAGTATTGGCATGTCTATTTTGTAATGACTGTCGAGAAATGTAGTCAAAATGTTGAATTTGTTTGGCATTCATGTGCTGAACCGTATTGTCATAGGCACTCAAAGCAATACCATAGCAGCTGAGGAACGTGCTAAAGGTTTTTCAGGATGATAAATGAACTTTAAACCTTAATGATCAGTGACAATAGTGAATTTCTTTCGGAAATTATATTTAGGAAGTCTTTTAACAGCCCTAAACACAGCCAATTTTTCTCGCTGAGTTTGCGAATAACTTTGTTCAATAACAGTAAGTTAGAGTGAAACACAAGTAAGTGGTCTAGCTTTCTGTACCAAAACTGTACGAATACCTACAAGCGATGCATCAGTAAAAAGTACAGAATGTGCACCAGGGGAGTAAGTTTGAATAACAGCATCACTTTGAAGAAGCTTTAGTAGACTTCGTAAGCATGACTCTTCTTCCTTACCCCATTTGAATAAATTGAATGTAAAAGTATTATATAAACAATTGGCACGACAAGAAAAATTAGGAATAAAATGGGAATAGTATGCACTAGTGAACGTAGTTCTGTAAGAATTTTTAGAGACTGAACTTTTCAGTAGAGCCGGTCATTTCATATCTGCTCTAAGACCATTGCCATCAACTAGGTATCCAAGATATTCGAAACTAGATACTCAAAATGAACACTTACTTGGATTCGCCGTAATATTCTTCTCAATTAAACGACGCAACGAAGTAATAAGTCTCTGGTCATTAACGTCTTTCTTAGATCCATGAAAAATGAAATCATCGTGATAAAATTCAACACCTTCAATATCGTCACTTCCTGAAACATGGCTCAAGAACAGCCTAGACCAAATGGAAGGAAGTTGTCGTCAAAACAGATGAAGATTGATCTAAAGGAATTTGGAGATAAGCATCTTTCGAGTCGAAGTTCGGGAACAATTTAGAAGCATGAGGTCGATTAAGG